TGTGGAGCCCAAGCCCCGTTTCCTCAGAGTGCTTTCACAGCCGCAGTTTCCATTACCACAATTCCTTCCCAAATCCTGCAGATGACTTTGTCTGCACATAAATTTATTTATTTCTCCCCCCCCCCACCCTCGTGCATTTGAGACATCCATGCAATCCAAGTTTAGCCATAATTAGCAGCGTTTCTGCTCTCTCAGAAAGCAGAAGGGGAGCGGCGACGTGAGCGCCTCGTCTCAGACAAACCATGCAAGCAGCTTTTGGCTTTGGGACCAGGGCAGGGAATCCAGAGCCTTGGAAAAGCATCTTGGGAGCATCAGGGCTGGCCACCCCATCCTGAGTCTGTCAGGAACTCTGTGCCAGGGCATCCCTGGCCAGAGCAGCCCTGCTGGGCTCTTTGATCTGCTCAGTTCTGATTGACAGCGAGAAGGACGGGGCGTGCGAGTGTTAAAAATGAAAAAAAAACAGGGGCTAAACTTTCTCTAAATGAAAGGCCTTGTTTTGTTTTTTCTCTGGGATTCAGGAGCTGCAGGGTTGGGAACACAGATATTTTGATAGATGGGAAGAGTGGTCTGGTCGTTGGAATATTAAAGAGAGAGACAGAGTGTGCGTGTGTGTGTGTTCCTCTCCCTCTCGAGTGGAAGGAGCATTTGTCACCACAAATCATCCTTGATTGCACAGAGCTGCCTTCAGAGAGGGCTCACCCACCCACCACCCTCAAAAAATTAGACATTTGTTATATGACATGAATTGAGATTAATTAGCGAATATTAACCCATCAAGCAGTGCAGAAACACATTTTTGGAAGGCACTGGAACTTGCAGCAACAGTGGGTTTGTCTCAGTTCTGGGTGGAAAGTTTGCAGAGAAATGTGGTGTGGGGGGTGCTGGAAAATGCCACTTGATCAGCCCAAAAGTTTTGTGGGAATGAGCAGCTTTTCCCTGGGAGAAGTTGGGAAGCGCCTGAATGAGAGGATGGGCTGCATATGGGAGGGTGCTGCTCAAGCCCAAGTCTTGGTCAGACTTTAGACAGAATTTGGGGTCATCTTGAGGCCTCAAAAGCCACAGGCTGAGCAAGGAGGAGGAGTCAGATGGTGCACAGAGCCACTTTTCCCCTAAAATATGTGAAATCATGGAATAGTTTGGGCTGGAAAGAACCTAAAGACCACCTAGGTCCAAGCACAGGCAAGGACACCTTGCACTAGACCTTCCTGTAAGCCTATTTACCCTTATTGCCCCAGAGGAAAAAAAATTGGTTATTACTCTCCTTGAGAATTCCATCTTTTTTTGGGGTCAGAGCAATTCACCTCAGCAGATTGAGGGGAGGAGATCTGGAGGGCTGTCAGGGCAAACAGAAGCTGCCAGTGGGGATTGAGCAGGGCTGTTCCTCCTGCCTTTCTCCTCCTCAGCCAGTGCCAACATCTGCAACGTGGTCCTGATGAGGCACACGGAGCTGGAGGAGGGAATCGATGTGTTGGACACTAATGGGAACATCGTCGGCTCTTCCAGAGTTGCTGCCAAACACGTGAGTACAGGAGCTGGGAGAGCTGGGTCACAGCTGATTCCAGCCCCAGCACATCCCACAGCCTCTGGAATCCATGGCTTTAGGAGCTGGGAGTGGAGGAGATGCAGATAACATGGAAATTTGGGGGCTTGCCCTGGTGGTTTGGAAGGGCAGAGTGACAGGACAGATCCCTGGTGCTTCCTTGGGAATTCCTTTTGGAACAGCCAGCAAAGATCCCTCACACCTTCTCCCAAATGAGGAGGACTCAGGCTCGGGGCTGAGAAGCTTTCCAACCCTTCCCTGCCAATCCTGTGCCAAAAACTGCCACCCAAGGCTGGCTGAGGGCATCCAGATGTTGTTAACCTTGTGAACAGCTGGTTTGCTCTCCCTGTCGCCCACTCTGTGCCACCTGCCTGGAGCTGCTCCCTTCCCATCCCTGGGTGCAGTCCTGGCTCCTGAGCACCCCCTGAGCTGTTGTTTCCAAGTGGGCTCTGACTGAGATGTGGAGCTGTGCTGAGCACACGCCCAGGCACAGGAGTTAATAATATAATGCTTGGCATTTCCCTCCCTCCTTCTGTCCAAGGCACTCCAGAGACAGCAATTAATGTACAGCTCTGCAGTCCTCGGCAGGAACGGGGAGATCTCGAATAGCTCTCCATATTGTTGGTTAACAGGGGGATTAAAACAATCTGCTGAAGGGCTCAGAGACACTTCTTGGAGCCAGTTTTCCTCACTTCCATTAACTGGCTCCAGGACCCGCTTTCCCCTCTCTGTCCTCATGGCTGAAAGAGAAAATTAAGATAAAAAGTGAAGGCGCTGTGCAACTGATGTAGGTGGAGCTTAAATGTAAAATTTGGGAGTTCTGAGAACTTCTGCTCAGCTGCCATCCAGTCCCAGCTCTTCCTCCTGGATAGGTTAATCCTGGTTTTTGTCATGTAAAACGTGGCAGATCCTCAGTGTGACACAGCTGTCCCTGTGTAAGGGTTTGTTGTGATGCTAGATGTCCCTGTGACATAAAATCATGGGATAGTTTGGGTGGAAGGGACCTCAAATCCCATCCAGTATCACCCCTGCCCATGGCAGGGACACCTTCCACTGTCCCAGGTGGATGCAAGCCCCAGTGTCCAACCTGGCCTTGGGCACTGCCAGGGATCCAGGGGCAGCCACAGCAAATCTGGGAATTCCAGCCCAGCCAGGAATTCCTTGCCAAGATCCCAGCCCAATCTCCCCTTTCCCAGTGGGAGCCATTCCCTGGCTCCTGTCCCTGCAGGCCTTGTCCCCAGTTCCTCTCCAGCTCTCCTGGAGCCCCTCCAGGCCCTGGGACATCTCTGGGCCTCAATAAATCCAAGCCCTGCCTAGGTTGCTCCCTCTGGTGAGTATGGCCAGGAAGGAAGGATTGTGGAGGCACAATGTAGCTCTCCATGGTTGGGGTTCCTGGGAGAGGAGAGCCCTGCATGTCCCATATCCCTGCAGGGAATGAACCAGCAGTGTGGGAAACAATTCCTGGAGCAGCAGTGAGGAGCTGCATCCCCTGCACTGAGTGAGATCAAAGCTCAGCTCAGGCAGGAAGGGCTGAAGGTGCTGCTTGGCCCATGGTGGGATATTTCCCCGACAGCATTCCCCCTCCAACATTTCCCTTACAACATCTCCCCTACAACATCTCCTCTCCACTTCCTCCAACATTTCCCTTACAGCATTCCCCCTTCAACATTTCCCTCACAACATTTCCCTACCACATTTCCCCTCAAACATTTCCCTACAACATTTTACCTACAACAATTCCTCCACAATGTCTCCCCTACAACATTTCTCTACAGCATCTCCCCTACAATGTTTCCTCACAACATTTCCCCCCCAACATTTCCCCTCCAACATTTCGCCCCAAACATTTCCCCTCCAACATTTCCTCCACATCTCCCCTCCAGCATTTCCCTACATTTCATCTACAACATTTCCTCCACATCTCCCTACAACATTTCCCTTCAACATTTCCCTACATTTCCCCCACAACATCTCCCCTACAATGTTTCCTCCATATTTCCCATCAGTGATTCCCATCTCATTCCCATCAGTGACCTAGGTGACATCCACCAATTAGAGTCCAGGCTCTGGCCAAGCTCTAGCTCTACTCAGATGGGATAATTGATGAAAAACCCAGATGTTTTCTGCATCAAAAGGTATCCAAGTCACTTTGGCTTGGCAATTTGACTGCCTGTACATGACAGCTGAACCTACTTTTAAAGGTAGCTTGGAGAATCATTATCCAGGCATGATTTTGCAATTCCCAACTGCTTTGGGGTTTGTCAGCTGCTGCAGACTCTGGGGTGACAGTTCAGTGCCCTCAGCAGAGCCATCCTGAGCCTGGCAGGTCCATCCTGAGTTGGTTTGGGATGTCTGCATGTGTTTATTTGTCTGTGTTTGCTCCACAGGCCCTGCTGGAAACAGCCCTGACCAGAGTGGTCCTCCCCATGCCTATACTGGTTCTACCTCCCATCATCATGTCCGTGCTGGAGAAGTGAGTCTGCCCAGGGGGAGGGAGGGAAGGGCCTCAGAGGGTGCCAGGCATGGATATTTTATGGGATTGTGGAATGGTTTGGGTTGGAAAGGTCCTCCAAGGTCATCAAGTCCAACCATCCCAGCACTGCCACCCATGTCCCCAGGTACCACACCCACAGGGTATTTGTTGGGTTATTTTATTCTGGTTTAGAGATGGGGTTTTAAAAACTTTTATTTTATTTTTAGTCCCATGTGAAGGGTGAGATAATACAGATGTTATGTTATTACAATCAGAAGCTATTTCTTAATTATATACACTCTAAGTGTTTCTTGACTTATTAGATTTAGCTCCACTATGTTGTAAATGTTTTAAAGGTAATTATTAAAAATTACCTCTAGGGGTTTTACAATGTATCTGTTATAATTTTATTTCTCTGAAGTGTCTAGTCCTTTTTTGTGAGATTATCTTTTGAAACTTAATTTCTCTCTCAACAACGTCTGTTTTATTCTATAGCACTTCTAAGTCAGCATTTCTTATCTCAAGGTTTGCGTACAGATGTACACTATGAAAGCCTTCTGTCAGGCTTTGAGAATTTTCTATTTTCCAATAATCCACTTCCCACAGGGTTTGAAACCCCCCCAGGGGTGGAGACTCCAGTGCTTAACAACCCTTTCCTTGAAGGAATTTCCCCCAAATCCATCCTAAACCCTCCCTGGTGCAGTTCCCTCTCCTCCTGTCCCTGTTTCCTGGAGCAGAGCCCGACCTCCCCAGCTGTCCCCTCCTGTCCTCTCCTTGTGCAGAGCCACAAGATCCCTCCTCACATTTCATCCACCAAATAGATTTTTTTGCATATTAAATTTCAACATTTAGGACCAATAATTTCCATCATTTCAATCAATTTCCATCATTTAGGACAAATGTCCAGCTTGTTGAAGTTTTATGTTGGTGTGATTATTTTAACTCACCCTGCCAGCCCAGCAGTTTCAATAACCCATGGTGGAAGGTCAGTGTGAGACAAAACCCCTGAATTCAGTGGAAAACTGCCCCTGTTTTTTAGGAAATATTAGAGATTAAAAGGGCTCAGCTGGTTTTCAGAGAGATTATCATGGAATCATGGAATTGTTTGGGTAGGAAGACACTTTAAACACCATCTGATTCCAAGGAGGATCAGATTCCAACCCCCCTGATTTAGTGCAAAACATTTGAATTTTATTTCATTCTCCTTCTGGACAAAATCTCTGCAGCCTCATCCCTGTTCTAAGTCCTTTGTCACCCACAAAGCCAGGATTTACCTGCAGGATCTGCTGGGAATGTGCCTGGGAGTGGCTGTGCCTTGCTCTGGAGTAACTTACTCTGCAGTAATTTACTCAGGGATTACTCCAAGTCGTATGTAGAACTGAGGCTTTGCACTGAGGTGGTTTTGTGTGTTCCCACTGGTTTAACTGGTTCCCATTTAACCATCAAAAAAATCGACACTCAGGACAAATTATTTTATTGCTTCAAATGATTTTATTGCTGAGTATCCACAGATAAAATCCTTTATGTGCAATAAATTTGGAGAAATTTGTAGAAAATTTCTCCTCTCTAAATTAATAAATTATTGTCTCCAGCAGGACACACTGAGGGCCCATCCTGGGCCATCCCCAGGCTGAATTAAACCTGGCAGTAAAATTGGATTGGCACCTGGGGAGAAAATAAAACTGGTGGTGAAATTTGCTGCCTCCTTTGCAGCAAAATAAAACCAGTAAATCACTTCTTTGTCCTCGGGGGCATCATAAATCCTTGGATTGATACGAGTTTTGCTGAATGCACCTGTGCTCAGTGCAGACCTTTCTAAAACTGATTTTATCTGTGAACTAACAGGAGATTGCCCTCCAAAAAAAAAAAAAAAATCATCATTTTAACGTATTGAAAGCTTTAATTCACGTTTGTGAGAGAAAATTTTCCTTCTCGCTGCCACAAAACTCTGTGGGTATAAAAATATCCGGGCTCTGCTTTTGCCTGCCTGCATTGTGCCCGGAGCTTTGTGCCTGCTGCATTTTCCATCAGATATCCTCGGGTTCCTGGAAGGCTGGCAGTGAGAAGCAGCAGGGATGGGGAGTGAGGTGTGGCTTGGCCACGCTGCTGGAGCTGGTGGCAGCTCTGGAGCAGTCCTGGGACATGGGGAGTGTCCCTGTCTGCACCTCAGGGAGCTGAAGGCAACTCTCAGATCTCAAAACTCATTCCCAAAGGGCTCACTCAGAGCTGAAAGCTCATTTTGGGGAAAAAAAAATCCTTTGGAGCATTTGGGGAAAGTGTAACTTGATAAATTTAGTAGGATTTGAGTTTGAGGAGGGTGTTTTAATGGGGGTGAGATCCAGGCAGGCATTATCCATTTATTTATAGAAATCCCTACTGGGGCTGTAAATGGGAAGGATGAAGGTGTCACTCTGCAGAGCTGGGATCAGGAGCCACAATCTGGATCTTCCAATGGATTTGCATTTGGGATATGGGAAGGAGGGGATGGTTCTTCCAATAGGTTTGCATTTGGAATTGTGAGAAGGAAAGAACTATTCCTGCAAGTTGTTTGAATTTGGGATGTGGAGAACGAAGGGAATGATTCCTCTGAGTATTGAATTTGGGATTGTGGGGAAGGAACAATTCCTCCAATGGATTTGTATTTGGGATTGTGGGAAGTAGGGGATGATTCTTTCAATGGCTTTACATTTGGGAAAGTGAGGAAGGAAGGAACAATTCCTCAAATGGATTTGCAGTTGGGATTGTGGGGAAGGAAGGGAGCTATTCCTCGGAGCATTTTGAATTTGGGAAAGTGGGGAAGGAAGGAACAATTCCTCCAATGGATTTGCATTTGGGATTGTGGGGAAGGAAGGGAGCTCTTGCTCCAAGTATTTTAAATTTGGGAAAGTGGGGAAGGAAGGAACAATTCCTCCAGTGGTTTTGCATGTGGGATTGTGGGGAAGGAAGGGTGAGATTCCTCATTTGCATTTGGGACTGTGGGGAAGGAAGGAAGAGATTCCTCCGAGTAGTTTGAATTTGGGATACGGGAAGGAGGGGACGATTCCCATGCCCAGTGCACGTGCACCTGTGATCCCAGGTGCAGGTGGGTGATGGTGCTCACCTGGGTGGGACCCCCACCCCTCCAGGGCCCAGCCCCTGCCCCCAGCAGGGTGTCAGACCCCAGGAATTCTCCCCAGCTCGCTGCTCCCAAAGTTTATTTTAAGTGGCCAGTTCCCGGCCGCCGTCTCTCCGCTCGCATCCAGGTCTTTCCTCTCTCCCAGCCATCTCTCCATCTGCATGTTTTAACTCCCCCAGCTGCCTCTCTCGTCTCTTGTGCCATTTTTTTCAGCTCTCTTGGCTCTTCTCTTCTCTTTGCCTGCTGTGTATTTTAACTCCCGGGGCCGCCTCTCTGCTCTCCAAGTAATTCCATGTTCCCTCCCACCGCCGCGCTCCCTCTTTTGCCCATGTTTCATGCATTTCCTGCTGCTTGGACTCTGCTGGAGCAGTGAACATATAGAACCAATGTTTATTTTCAGCCTGCATATGCCACGCAGGGAACACGGTGTCAGTTATCCGTGCAGATGTATTCTCATTGAGCTTTTATAAATAATATCCGTGCCGGCAGCTCTCGCCGCAGGGAAATATCGGTTTGGAGGTGTCTGAGGGGTGAGGGCGACTGATAATGGGGATTCTGTGGTGTCTCTATGTCACACAGGTGTGGGGACAGCAGCAGCCACTACAGGAAGTTGGGCTCTTCATCCCCATCTCCCTTTATTCCTTTTATTTAGCCCCTTCTGTCAGTCCTTTGTTTGGTTGTTATGATGGAATTTGGGAGATGGAGCTGTTTGCTCCCAGCCACCATCCAAGGCTTCTCCAGCAGCTCCCTGCAGAGCTGCAGCTGCTTGGAATGGGGCAGGCCAGCCCTAAGTGCAGCCTCACTCTGAGCTCTGGGCTGGGAAAGCCCAAATTTTTTGCTCCTGTGGTCTGGCCAAGAGTTGGAGAAGCTCAGTCCATCACCAGTGTCTGCTGGGGACACTTTGGGGGATCTCTGAGCAGAACCTGAGCTCTTCTTACATCCTCATCTTATCTCAGACCTCCTCTGTGCCCCTCAGAGAAGACCTTTCAGAGAGTCTGAAACACTGAGAAGGTTCCAAGAGCTCGGGAATATCAGGATGCACTGGAGAAGGCCTTGGAGCAGGCTGGGCAGTGTCTGTTGAAGAGACAAAGCTGGAGCTGCTGGCAAAGGGCAGGAGCTGAGGGAGAAATGGGAGCAGAGCAGTTGTGTCCTGGAAGAGGAACATTTCTGCTCTTCTTCACCTCCAGATCCTCCTCATGCAGCAGTTCCCAGGGCTGTTTTCCTGTAAATCCCATAAAACCAGGATGCTCCTGGGCTGGATCAGCACTGCACTGCAGAGCTGCTCTGGCTGAGCTGAATCAGTGGCAGCAGCAAAAATGGATTTTCCTGGGGGCTGGCCAGTGCTTTGTGGTGCTGGAACAGCATTTTCTTTTCCTTGAACCCTGTTTGTTCCTGAAGAGCTGGGGTGAGGCAGGAGTTCCCCCTGGCCCTGGTGTCCCTGGGTTTTCCTGGAGACATTCCCATGCCAGGGAGTGCAGGATGCTCCCACAGGTGCTTCTCCTCACAGGCCCCGTCCAGCCCAGCCCTCAGTGAAGTTTGTTTGGGCTCAGCAGCTGCCAGCAGTGACACCTTCAACTGCTGGGGCTGTTCCCAGAGTAAACACGGAAACTGCTCCTTTAATGGTGTCAATCAAGCTCAAAAAGCCCCAACCTCCCTCCTTTTGCATCTGCTGTGTCCTCTAAGGGGCTCAGGGCTGGGCTGCAGGGTGAGGACAGTGCTGGCCTGGCTGGGTGGGACAGCAGAGATGCTGGTCACTGGTAGAACTCACATTTCCCAAAATGGGTGAGAAAAGCTGGGAGATAGAGCAGAGAGACCTGATAGGCTCAGCAGGACGGGGATCTGGGGATCCCAAACTTCCTGGGTGCATGAGAGGGGTGCTGTGAGG